AAAGAAAGAAGGAAGGAAGGGAGGAAGGGAGCAAGGGAGGGAAGGAAAGAAGGGAGAGAGATGGGAAAGGGAGGGAAGGGGAGGAAAGGGGAGGAACGAAAAAGAGAAAGAAATTATCCAGTCAGTCTCCTTGCTTGGAATGGGGTCATGTCCATGTAAAACCCCATCATGCGGCCGGGCGCGGTGGCTCACGCCTGTAATCCCAGCACTTTGGGAGGCCGAGACGGGTGGATCACGAGGTCAAGAGATCGAGACCATCCTGGTCAACATGGTGAAATCCCAGCTCTACTAAAAATACAAAAATTAGCTGGGCATGGTGGCGCACGCCTGTAATCCCAGCTACTCGGGAGGCTGAGGCAGGAGAATTGCTTGAACCCAGGAGGCGGAGGTTCCGGTGAGCCAAGATCGCGCCATTGCACTCCAGCCTAGGTAACAAGAGCGAAACTCCATCTCAAAAAAAAACCCCATCATGCGTGAGCATGATGCCACCCAAATGGGTACAAAGCCACTACCATCCCTCCAAGGTAGTATAAACAGGAAACAGGGAGTGACTTACATTGAGCAACTGGGAAGTCACCATCAAACACAGATGGGCTTCCACCACAGGACCCAGTGGTGTGACAGCTCCGCCAAGGTCCCTCAGTGGGTCGTAAAGTACAACATGGGTTCTGTCAGCTTCTCCACATGCAGGACCATCATGGAGTGTCTCCTCAAACAGGAATCCCTCTATACAAGGTTTAGGTGTGGCTGAAGGCTACTCACATAGGGTCTGCTTTTTTTGTGGGAGCAGGAGACAAGGTCTTGCTTTGCCACCCAAGCTGGAGTGCAGTGGCTCCATCTCAGTTCACTGCAACCTCTGCGTCCTAGGTTCAAGCGATTCTTCTCTCTCAGCCCCTGGTGTATCTGGGATTACAGATGCATGCCACCATGCCCAGCCAATTTTTGTATTTTTTGTAGAGAGGGGGTTTTGCCATGTTGGCCAGGCTGGTCTCGAACACCTGACCTCAGATTATCCACCTGCCTTGGCCTCCCAAACTGCTGGGATTACAGGTATGAGCTACCACACCCAGTCAGTGTGAATTATTTTATACTGAATAAAGCAGCTGAAGACTTTCCTACATTTACTACAATCAAAAGGTTTTTCTCCAGGGTGAAGTTTCTGGTGCCAAGCAAGGCAGGAGCTGTGGCTGATGCTCTCCCATGCTGGCTGCATTCACAGAGATTTTTTCCAGTGCGAATCACTTTGTGTACATCAAGGTAGGAGCTGCAATTTTTTGCTCTCCTATGTGCTACACTCACAATGCTGTAAATTGCTGGTGTTAAACAGGATTAAAACTATGAGAAAAGGCTTTCTAACATTAGCTGCATGCATTGGGCCTTTCTCTGATGAGAATTCTGCAGGATGAGTTTCTTATTTCACTGAAAGCCTTCACATAGTTATTGCATTTGTACAACTATTCTCTCTTTTTTTCCTAATGAAAACAGAGCTCTGAATATAGCATGTATGAACCTCAAGTCAGGTGCCAGGTGGCTCACCTGGTACCTGGCAGTGCCCCACATTCTCTGCACTTAGGAGTCCTTCATAGAGTATGAACATTTTGGTGCAGAAGAGAGTTTTGCAAAATTTTGCTCAAGGCTGGGCCACACTTCTTGAGCTTATGGGGACTTTCTCTGGGATGAACATTTTGGTGCTCAGAGGTTGAGTTCTGGCTAGAGGATTCCCCACGTTACACTTGTAAGGCCCTTTGAAGATGTGGATGTACTCCTGCTTTCTCAGGATAAAGACAAAAGTGAAGGCCTTCTGATGCTCCAAATATACTTGCAATTTTTTACAGTTAAGTTTTTTGGTAGGAGAAAAGCTTTCCTTCTCCTGAAACACCTTTCCATATGCTATGTATTTATCAGATATCTCTTCAGTGTCAGTTCTCTGTATGTTCTGTAAATGTGGAGTGCAGGGCCCTAAAGTCTGGTGACAGGCCAGGACCGTGCAGTGAGACAAGTCCAGGTCTTGAACCACTGACAACCTACGCCCATACTCCTCAAATGGAACAAGCCAGTCTCATGGAAGAACAGGTTTTCTTTCCTCTTTTTTTTTTTTTTTTTTTTTTTTTTTTTTTTTTTTTTTTTTTTTTTTTTT